ATATTCCTTCTTAACACTTCAATTACTATCATTATGAGGATTTTCAGAGACTGTATTATATTCAAGGTTGAAATCACGAATTGATCTAAGCTAGATCACCTCCGAAAACTTGAAAGCACTGGACTGAAGTCCCTATCTGGTATGGGGCTCCTCAACCGCGCACGCACAATCTTGCACGTGGGACATGGACACGGGACCTTAACTTCTAGATCACTGTGCTAGCATCATGAGCTCACTATTGACTAGCTTCAAGATGTAAATCCTGGAGTTCTGGTGAGGACTCGTGACCAAAGAAGTCTAATCCATGCAGAGTGTGTGGGGGTTATATAACTTAGATAATGAATGAAATGAAAAGCAAAATCGTGGATCGATTGAACCTGTGGATGAACACTGTTGAATGCTCAGTGCTTTAGATGCTGTGCGTTCGTACATAAGATCAAAGATCCTATGTACGAGTCCCACATGTGGAATCGTTGATACGCACTGCTGAAAAATCCCAAACCAGGACGAGAGGGTGGTCAAGTGCATTTTACTGTACAAAGGTGATTTGAATTAGATTGTTTCGTGATTTAAACTGTGTATATATTCAAATTATTGTTTGTTGCTTTGCATTCTTCAGCTAGGCACAATTCATGAGTGGCTTTAATGATCTACAACAAGTAATCACTTCACCCGATGCAGGAATATCACAAACGCGGATGACATGCACTCAATAAAGTAAAGGAAGTCGTAAAAATTGTTGGAAATCATTATAATTCGTTTTTAAATGCACGTTAGTTGTTTTTACAGGTGGTACTGTAGTTATTTAAAAATTTCAAATAACTAGTTATTTATTTATTAAGGCATTTTGGAAGTTGGCAGTTAGAATCACATGTGTCTGCCGGAAGAGCTGTTGTTTTTTCTGGACGACCGAAGCGGTTTCTGTTCTACATGCAACGTACTCGTTTGGACAGCAACAGAATGCTCTATACACTTAGAGATGGTTATACCGCCAAAGTTCACAAGAAAAATATTTGCTGTGTGACGAAGTTCCTCAGCAAGTAAATATACTGCAATCAGCCAGTCATAATCATTATGCTTGAGGTTGAAGTTGCGCATCTCTTAATGACGTAATTTGGTGAGTCGTCCAACATCAGGTACGCATTCAACACATGGAGTATATCCACACTATTTATTTCCCATATTTCATTAGTGCTAACATGTGGTGAATTAACATTAAATTGGCTACACATGGAAATATATTTCGTTGTGTTTAAACCCATCATAACAATACAACATAATTCCTTAATGTGCGCTTAGAAATTCATTTCTCGCCTGTGACTTGTCGAAGTTCTAGGCTACATTGAAGTTAAAGTTTATGAGACTTTTGGAAGAACACAAGCCATCTTTTGAATAATATTACATTACAATTGATTTCCATATCAGTTAAGAGTTTAGTATCTGATGCAACCTGTAACTAACCAGATTACTAAGTTCAGCACTGCTCACCGTTATTTGACTAACTTGTGAGACAGCAGATGAAGCTTCCTAAACATATTAAGTTTTTCAGCTAAAAAATATTTGATTCGGCGTATGATTTCATGGTATTTCGTGGTACCAATCACACAAACAACTTTGCATTACAGCTAGATGGATCAAACGATTTAACGTCGAAGTCATGAACCTAACATTAGTTGACCTTTTCTCGCAAAATTCTTTTTCCGCATTGTTAATGATTATTAACATTACGATAAGTTCATGCCGCACATAAACAATTCACAACTTTAGTATAGTGAATCATACGCTTCATTCTGTCACATCTATTGAAGTAGGAAGACTGGTTTGGTAGTTGAGGCGTTATCAATATAAAATAAGGTTTTCATAAGTTATTTATCGGTCTAAAGTGAGTAGAATTCACGGAGTCACTTATCTATCTGTCACAATTCCTTAGACAGTTCTTACTGCATAATTATGTGCATGAATACCGAATTTCGTTAATGATTTTGTGAATGTGTTGATAGTATACCCACCATTATTTTGAATTCGAATAACAAAAACGTACATTCTGAAAAAATCAAGCATTTCGACTTTCATTAAATCCGAAATTCCTTAACATTAATGCTCTGCACCTAAATGAAGGCGAAAATCACCCATATGCGACTCCGAGTGAATTAGTATGAAGTTGCTTTACAACATAAAACCTTTTGGTAGCAAAATAGGTATACTGTGGTTACAGACAATAGAAAAACGCTCAGATTCGTTTTTCACTCAAAACCATCCTCCAATGTCATCATTTCTTTGAGTATTGGTTTGGCGGTCAAATCAGATTTCATATCACGAGTCAAGGATAAATTTGATTACTAGAAGTAATGCAGTTTAACCTTGACCAGTTAAAGACTTCCAAAATAATAAATTTCCACACAAAAACCAGATTCCATATGTTAATCATGAAGAACTCATATCTCCATCAATTAGTCCTGCAATTTGCCACAGAACAGATCTTAACAGCGTTTGGACTGTTAAAAATAAAGTTCCGGTGAATAGTTGAACATAACTAATTATTTACGATTTTAACAAATGCGATAAGAATAGCTAAAATACACATCAACACCATGGTGACTTGTAACGCCTGCCCTAATAAAGCAGTTGACCCAGCCATCAGGATAGGGTAAGTCTTGCGTGGTCAGTGATCTGCTTGAATAAGATATAAAACTATGAGGGTGGAGCACTCAATATCTAAGCTGACTAGATAACAAAATCATGGTGTACGCAGGAATGAAAAGTGATCATTTAAAGGCTCTTGTCGAGCAACTTTGGTCTCTTATTTGTCCAGCGTATCTGAATCGATCTTAAAATTACAGCAGGCCATGTGGCATGTGGTAATCTGACTATGGGACAAATCACTTGGAGGCTTTTTGAACGCGTCGACAGATGGGATTTCAGTCACTTGTTGAGTTTTGTAATCTAACTCACTGATGGCTTGATGAGAAGGTTTGTTCAAGTAGCTCCCCATCACGCAGCAGCCTAGTGATTCCGGAATGCAATCAAGCTGGTAATATTAAAACCTTTTCCAATAGACCATTATCTTATTTAAGGCAGGAACCATGTGCTTACATACAGTAGTCGAGCAGATACTTTGTACAAATTCATAAGGCTTTGAACACCCACGTGTCTAGATCCCTGGAATCTATTTCAGTATGCCTGTGTATAGGATTGTATGAAATTCGTCAATGGACGTTTTCTGTGCGGATGTTTCTATTCTCTTCCCTTATTTAGTTCGTTCGCTCTGTCGTTGACCGTGCGGACACATATTTAGCTTTCTTTTTTATTAATAATTACTTTTGCCAAATGGTTTCGTGAATTTTGGACCGGCTGTTTGTTGTTGGTACTGTTCTGATTGCTATTATTTTTCTAAAATTTGAAGTCTTTGAGATGTTTGATAGTGATCATACTGCAAAACATCTACTTGGTTGGTTCCATTCTGTCTGTTGTTTGTTTCTGCTCTTGACGGGAAGAAAATATTTTTGCCAGTTGTAAGGAACGGGTATTGTTTCGAACAGCCAATTATTTGTTCCTTTTTCATCCCAAATTCAACATTGTACCACAGTGATTGTTCATTGAAAAGTTTTCATAGTTTTCCTTCTGGGTAGAATCTAGTTACCTTACTTGCAGGGAACTGGTTTCCGCCACATCAAATGGTTGTCTTATTTTTTTATGCTTTGATCATTTATTGTGTAGTGGCTTTGTTGTACATTGTGGTTTCGCCTGGTAGAGACGACACTATTCGAAAAGAATTCATCTGATGTTGTATCTATATTCACTGTTTCAGCGCCACACTCGAAACCATTTTCACACTATTTTCTACATTATTATATTGGAAATGACCTTGAGGATAGTCTTCTACACGGAAACTTATCAGAGTTTCTACTAAAGTCGATGAAGGTCACGGCTTTAGCTGCTTCGTACCTGTCAGAAAGGTTGGACTTAATGTGGCTTTTTTCAGTCACTTGCTAACCTGCTTTAGATTACATGGAGGTAAGATGATTTAAAATACGGTCCAGGTTCTCCCTTAGTAATCTAAAATTCATTTCGTTGGATCAAGTAGATATAACCACATCAAGTCTATTTAATTATATTAACGATAATGTATCCTTAAGTATCAGTATATTAGCAGACCAAAGATCGTCAATCGTCACTGTATCCAGAGTGTGAATGGAGGGGGTTATTTGTAATCGAAGGAAGGGCGCCTATACGATATATATCTTGATAAACCGGTCAGACAATATGTGGACCTTATCTTTATTATTTCATAGTGTCTCTTGAGTAAAAAAACATTTAAATAATCTTATGACTTTGCATTTCCTCGTCACCCTTTGGTTTGCGTACGAATATTAATGTTCCCTTCTTCATACAAACTCCTGGACATTGGTAAAGAAATGAGTAAAAAGTTTTCTCATAACTTAGTGTTGAGATTATTTCCCATAAGTGATTTAACTCTTTACCACAAATGTCTTTATACCAAGTGCATTGACATTACTGACGGATGACAAGTATTTCGTATTTTTTTGACACAGTCGAAGAGACGTGTGCTGCTGAAGCATTAGTATAAAAATTCCTAAAGGCTTTCAAAGAAAGTCCTTCAGAAATTCTGTTCTCACGCCAATGATTTACAAAGATTTTAATTTCATGAATTTTTTTACCACTACAATTTTTATATAATCAGCTTAATTGAAAGGGTTGGTGATCCATTGGAAATGTAAACAGAGCTTCGGTTGAACAAAGTTGTTTATTTGCCTGAAACCTCAGCAAAACACACCTCATCACATTTTATTGATCGAATGGCTGATTTATAATGAGCAAACTTACCAATCATTCCTAATTTTAAAGACAAATTACTCTTTCACTAGATAGATAAATTAATTCTGAAGTACTCAATGAATCTAGGTTGACGTCCGAAGGTTTGTGGCTTGGCTGAACTCAATGTACATTGGGAAGAGTATTTAACTGTATTGTATATTGAATCGAAGATGTGTCAGGGTATCTTTTGAACTGTGTCCTTGAAGCTGAATGAAGTTTCAAACGTATGCACTTTAAAAGTACTAGACGGTAAGTTATTTGAATTTGTCATGTTCAGTAATTCAAAGTCTATCTATTCATGTTATCCTGTGTGTAATATATGCATGATATGACACAGTGCATATACGTAAGGTTCTCTAGAATAAAAGCTTTTGTGGAAGTAATGTGTATGGACGACCTTGAGCTCTTTTCTATTCAGGGATGTTTGGTTATGAAGCTATTTATGACTAAAAAGAGACAGTTATAATTGGTCAGCAGTTTGTATACGGATGACCAAAACTCGTATGAAGTATCGGGTTTTCGCCAGGTGCTATTATGATTTATAATGCGTCAATAAATCCTGCGAAACTTCATTGGTTTGTCAATATTGCCTACTTCTGCTAAACATTTAAGAAAACTGAGCCGATGAACAAACTTCTTGGTACACTAGCTTTGAGCAGTTCGTTAAGCAGCACTAATTCGCTTGTTTCCTAAAACAATTTTTTCCCGTTATCATGGATAGACAGAGACTGTTATTTCCTTATCCTTCGTAATGACCTTTGAGGGCATTCCAGATGAGTTCTAAGTGAGAAATTTGGGTAATGGCAATACATAGATCGTACGTTCAAGCACATCAACCTAAAACCCCCCTGGAATGTCCTATACACAGGACAGGCTAAGAATTAATGAATTATGGACTCGACTTCGGTCAGCTTTCAGCGAATGACAAATCCTTACACAAATCTATATTCACGGTTGTTGTTAAGTGATATTGGTCTTTATTTACCATTTGTTTCGATTCGGGGTTATCAAATGATAGATTAATCAACGAGACTAATTTGTGAACGAACCGATGAGACATAAGATGGTAGGTCTTGGATTTTGGTGCCCAATTCTTTCATCCTCTTGGCTAACTAGCGTTTTGACATTTTAGCTGATGTCAGTTTGGGATAAAATCTCCAAGTTTAGTTCGTGACCCTCGCCATTAACTGTCAATCACAATAACCGTCATTTAGTCCTTATTAATAGGTGGACATTCTCATGATCACTTTAACGTCTCTCAAAGGTCTTCCATAAATTATAGTCTCCGATTAATCGGTAAGTAGAATTTGGTTTTATACCAGGATAGAACACCTGAAAGTTTAGATCGGTAGCACTAAGAAGTTCTGTAATAGCCACAATTTGATGTCTAAGTCAGTCATGTGATAACTTGTCTGTAGCTCTTTACGAGGATAGAAGCAGATCCTAGGTTAGTTGACTGGGTAAATTTTTTTGGTAAGATATGACAATTCAGGTATCCTATCACGCTTCAATTAGTATACTATCGTAGTAAATTCACAGTTTTCAACGACTAGTTTTTAGGTTTAAAGCCTAATTTCCTTTAGGTTACCAAGTATCATCATTAACCACACTAGTTGTGGTTTTACCTTTTTTCGAGTTCCTAAACATCACTGAACTTATTTCAGTCCAAAAACCATTGTTTATAATAGATATTATTCTTGTCCATTTATTGATTATCCAGCCTTTTCTTTTCTGTTTTCATATCGTCCTTTCAACTTGTGTAACCTTCTCGGTGCTATATTGTACAAAAATGTTTCAGTACAATTGAAAACAGTTTAGTTGTCACTTAAAACGTGCAATTTCATATGAGTTGTTTGCATATAGTATTTAGGATTCTTCTGGCCGGACTAACTTATATGTTTTGGTTGACTTGTTTATACACTATCACTAATCATCTGTTCATTAACTAATCTAGCTAACACCAAATCTGTTTCCTTCAAACTATGTGACTTCCCTTCTTTGTTAAAATGTAATACAGAGACGTTTTGCAACCCTCAAGTGGTTCAAAGCTGCCAACCAAAAATCATATCCAATTATGGTAGAACCACCTCTCCGTCGAAAACGTGCGTTATCGTTCGCTGGATACTCCGAGGTGAGGCAGGATTACAACTCTTGTTTAATTAGTTTATATTTTTCTCACTTGAATGCTATTAACTATTTATATTAACCAATCACTTTGGACTAAATATTATATGTACTTCACAATCACCGTTTAACCCTATTTATTTATTTATTTGAACACAAATATTGGTACAAGAGAGCGCCAATATATATGCGCCACACAAAACAATGAGAATTCGAAGAGAAGAGAAAAGAAAAAAAGGTAAGGAGCGTAAAAAAAGAGAACAATAACGAAGAGATTGGTGTAGGTTAGTGTGGTAGTAATGAGGGAACAGAAAGGTACAATCAGAAGAAATCTTTCAGGTAAGGGAGACACAACTACTTTTTATGAAGAAAGTAGAAGAAGGTTACAGCAGGATCGCCACTGGCTTCTATTCTAAGCCATATCTGATAACGTCTCTAGCCACTGTGTAGCACCATCTCTCGGACCCCAACCAGGGAGTCGTGAAGGACCAACAGAAGCCAGTCCTTTGCAGCTTTCTTTCATGCCACGACACCATGTCATGCACTAACCACCTCTCCGCTCCTTCCAACCAGTCCCAGAGTCGGCAAATAATGCACGACGTGGAATTCTCTGGGACGACATTCGGAGAACATGTCCAAGCCACCGAAGTCGGTGTTTCAAGATGGTGACATCAATTGAATTATCATCTCTGTGCCCGAACACACGATGCCGAACCTCTGCATTACTGACATGGTGTTGCCACTGAATGTCAGCAATCCTTCGGAGACAGCGATGATCGAACACAGAGAGTCATCTAACGTCCTCAACTCGGAGAGGCCAGGTTTCACAAGCATAGAGCAAAACTGCTCTCACTGACGCGTTGTAGAACCGACCTTTTACAGCCAGACTAACATCACGAAGGCGCCAAAGGTGGCCAAGATTGGCATAAGCCGCTCTGGCTTTCACTATACGTGCATTGATCTCATCACTCATACCCCCACCAGCACTTATGCAGCTACCCAGATACACGAACTTCTCGACTACGTCTATCTGCTCACCATCCAGGGTGAGTACAGGATTGGAATCCTGCCAGTCTTGTAGAAGTACTTTGCACTTCGAAGGTGCAAAGCACATACCATACCTACGGACGCTGATTGCCAACTGATTAAGTGTGGATTGCATGCCTTGGGCATTATCGCACAGTAAGACAATATCGTCCGCATACTCAAGGTCGAGAAGTTTTTCTACAGGCAACAGATCCACACCACCATTACTTACATCCATCAGAGCTGTTTCCAGAATGTCATCGATGGCAAAGTTGAAGAGGAATGGTGAGATTGGGCAACCCTGCCTAACCCCACTGCTCGAATGGAACAATGGAGAGAGGTGGTTGTATGCCCTCACTCTGCCTGAGGTGTTTTTATATAGGGTTTTTAGGATGTTAATAAACTTCTCAGGCACACGCTTCTTCAATAGACAATACCAGAGAACAGTCCTGTCCAACGAATCAAAGGCAGCCCTGATGTCAAGAAACACTACGATTGTTGGCCTTTGATAAGTATGGCGGTGTTCTAACATTTGGCGGAGGGTGAATATATGATCAATACATCCTCTACCAGAACGAAACCCTGTCTGCTCCTCACGAGTCAATCTTTCTCGGGTTTTGAACAACCTACGAAGAATGACGGAAGCCAATAGCTTGGACGCAATCGGAAGTAGACTTATCCCCCGATAGTTGTTACAGGAACGACGTGAACCCTTTTTAAAGATAGGGACAACTATCGACTAATTCCATGACGTTGGTACACTCTAGTTCCCAAACCTTTGTAAACAACGTCGTCAATTCCTTAGTCAAAAAGTCACCACCATCTTTAAAAAGAGTCGGAGGTAATTCATCTGGGCCAGGTGATTTGTAACGCTTCAAGAGTTGGAGTTCCTTGCGGACTTCCTCCTCGTTTGGTGGATCAGTCGTCACCGGCCATGGAGGGCAGGACAGTCTGACCGATGTTGCCGGAGCAGCAGGCCAGTTGAACTGCCCTTCGAAAAATTCTGCCCATCGTCCTTTCCAGTTAACGTTATTGGGTAAACTGAGTACTTTTTTGGATACTACGAAATTTAAAATATACAACGAATTTTCGATAAGTCCACTGTGGTCATTTTGCCGAAACTTTAGCTCCTAGAAGTTAAACTTTGCTATTTGTTGTCGTTATTCAAAGTTAAATGTCCTTTTGAGGTATTGCTCCCTCGTAGCGGGATCATCTAGACAAAAGATTTGTGGGTAAACCTACCCATGATATAAACTTAATGGATCATTTAGTACTGTAGTTTAACTGAATTTCCAGTAATTTAGCAATAACTACTATTTTATGGTCGAATATACATTGTGACTTATTTTGTTTATCCTTGAACTGTAAAGTTTCATGGTATCAAGAACAGGTGAACTTATGTGCTTTCTCGTGAAGACTACAAATGGCACTTCGAAGGTGGTCAGGATTTTTTATCCAATTTGACCATATTTCTTTAAGTGTGTAGAAGTGTTGAGTTCTTCTTTTGTCTAAGTTTTGTCATATGATTTTTAACTGGATTTGATAATGGCTGTGAAGGGGAATCAGTTGGATTTCACTACCTTCCCCCCTCCACATCGCGTATATAATTGATATATCTGTACGGTCAATGACAGTCGAGTGTGTTGCGAAAATCCGTGTTGTTTTCTCATTCACCTGACTGTAGAAGTTTTATTATTTGAGTAACAGTTGGATGTAAACACTGGTAAGTCACAGTCCCAGGCTAGTTTACTAAATTATATCACATAATGAGACAGTATTATCTACTTTTTAGTTAATCATAAACAAGGACGTGACAAAATTATCCATTAGTTGAAGTTGCCACTTTTTGCTTCAGCACTAAAACGAACACAACGAACATTAGAAGGATCAAAGCGATAATGATTTTGCTGATATCAGAAAAGTATACATAGAGAATATAATTTTGGAAGAATCATCAGTGAACAATAGCTTCTCGGTCTGATGTGGAATCTTAGTTTTGAACCATAAAACCTTCTGAACCATCTCCATACAAGCCCCAGTTGCACGCTACAGTAAAAAATGGCTTGGATGTGTTATACCTGCCTAGTCATCCTAGTGAATGTGGCTTTCAGAATCCTTTCAATCAATTTACCGTTTCTATATGGTACTACACACTTCATCTCAGCAGTGCTTACTCGGTAGTTCTATTACATGTGAAAAATTTCCGACGAGGTTTTTCGTCAAATGCTAGTGATGTTTGGATATCTTTTATCTTAAAGTCCATAAACTAATACGGAGAAAAGTGCTTCACAGTATGATCTCTTTTTGACATGCAGATGAACTTGTGTTCTGTGCCACAAGTAAGGCTTGTAGAGAGCTATATACTTACACTATGACCAAGAATCAGTTTGTGTGAAATGGATACTGTATAAGAATATTTTTGGTTTTCTGTAGGTATATCGATTGTTATAATTCTTAATAACTTAATTTGCAGTAAATATTCCCTATTATCGTTTAGCTCCCCAAAATTTCCAACAATGTTAATTTTGGGCAGTTACCTACTGCCTTCCGAATTCGCCATCCATCGTCCGTTTATCCTGATGGTGGTCCAGCTCTTGACCAAATTTTCGGGGGTTTTTCACAGAAGTTAAACAATGAAGAAATTGGATTTTCAGCGTCTAAGGATTTATCAGATATCAAAGATTTTGGAATAAGTGGTTGTGATTTACGCTCAAGAAAGTCTTCAGTCGCTACAGTTGTAGACCATCCACTACATAGTTGTATATCGACTCCTGAAATTTACCCTAAAGTACCAAGTTCCTGTTCTGGTTCAGTAGCCAAACTGTCTCAGCCACTTAATTTATCATCCTTTAACTGTTCAGATTATGTTCTTCCTGATAGTCTATTATCTTCGAATCTTGTTAAACTCTACCTTGCCAAGGTTAGTATTATCCCTTATTTGTTATAATCGTTACTTACATATTACTGGATGCTGGAAATAGTGTTTTAAGGAATAATTCTGTTATTACTGTGATCCCCTGGGTGCTTTAATTGGAATTTGTTTCGAACTGTTGATCAGTTGTTCAAACATATAGTCATAGGTCCAATGTACATTCCATTCGCTGCATTCAAGGGAGTGCTGTCGATTCCCGAGCTGCTAAATTCTAACTGACGATCACTAATCAACAAAGTGGACTATCTTCAGTTCCTACTAAGTCAAAATATGTATCGTAATTGTGGTGTCATCATAATTCAAGAATCTTGGTTAAATGATTTACAGGAAGACTGCCTAGTATCACTACGTGATTTCAAAATTTATCGTCAGGATCGATCAAACAACAAAATGAGGTGTGGCGGCGGTGTAGCTACGTTTGTAAACATAAACTGGAGTCGATCTTGGTTTGTGTGTTTTAAGTTTTCAAATGACTCTATCGACTGTCTAACTCTAAGATGTCGTCCAAAACATCTGAATAAATACAAATATGCTTATATTACCAATATCCACGTGACTCCAGACTGCACATCATCTGCGCTATCTGTTTTCGCTGATGAATTCACTGAGTTCGCTGTTACTGCCTTCAGTGATTCACTTTCACTTGTATGTGGTGATTTCAATTCATGTGACTGTAGCTTCCTTACATCACTAGGTCACCAAAATGTAGTAGATTTTCTTACCCGTTTGGATGCTCATTTAGACTTCGTCTTCATTAATGAAGTGGGTATATATGCGACTCGTAAACGTGCTCCATTGTCTAGCTCGGATCACTGTATAATTCGTGTTCTACCTAAAGTATATGGAAAGCATGGGGAGAGTACACTCTTACATCAAACCAAGAAAGTCAAATATAGGAATTACTCAGAAGAAAATATCCGAAACCTGAAAAACATGTTTCATACGACTAACTGGGAATTATTTACAGATGACTCACTGGAAATCACCACTGATGTTATCACTTGTTATCTTAAATTCTGTTTTGATATTTGTTGTCCCACTGAAACCATTTTTGTAAGTTTTGATCTACTTACGTCTACACAACTAAAACGACTACGGAGAATGAAAGAAAGAATGTACAAGGAGAAGAACTCTAATGAAGTTCGTAAGCTAAATGGTCTGATAAACCTAGAGATTAAACGTCTCAACTGTATGTTTGCTCAAAAACTCTCCAAGTGTGTGGAAACCCTTTAAAGAACTTACAGGTGACAGACATTAGGAGCGATAACCAGCTGAATGTTTGTCACTTAAATAAGTCTTTTGTACGTCAGTCATCTGATGTGATACTCCCTTTATCCACAGGTTTAAATAATATCTGTGTTTTTACTTTCACTGAAACTGATGTACGAAGATGTCTCCAGTCACTTAATTTATCTCGATGTTTAGAACCCGATGGTATCCCAAACATATTTTTTAAAAAGTGTGCTGACGTCCTATGTTATCTGTTCACAACTATCTTTAACAGATCCTTCTCATCTAATCTCATACCGAAAATGTACCTTCTTAATCGTTTTATTATTATGGCCTAAGTATGTGTTTTTTAAATTTCTACAAGCGTGACAATCTGTGTTATGTATCGCAATAGTGTAACTCGTATAGAACTTTTTTTAAGCTCGGGATTTCATAAAATAAGATTTTATGATCATAATTCATCAAATATGCGTCCGTATATTTACCGTCAGAAAAAGATGCAATTTCAGTGAATGAAGACTTGGTAGGAAAAATCAATTCATTGTTTAATGCGAAATTACAGAGTGCCCTCGTGAAATATGAAAACCATACACTACATACAGTATTTGTACATATTCCTTCATTTGTCCTGTATTGGCTTCATGATTCTTCCAATTCTGTTGTTATTACAATCGCTCTTTATTTCCCTTCTTGTTTTCTTCAATTTAGTCTTCTGTTGGCAGCCATTTCGCTTCCGATCGCTTCTGCATACTACTTATATCTGTCAGCATAAGCAACATGCACCACACAATCAGCTTGTAATCCGGGAAGTGTCTACCTAAGAGTCTTATATACCATGAGACTGATCAAATTCATTCGGAACAACTAAGGAATGGATAATAAAAATAATTTTAACTAGTGACAGTTTCACATTTTGCTTCTACTAAATAGTCTAAATGGAAATATGGGGAGATGTGTGTCCATTTTGCACTGATTTTAGATACGTGTTAAGAAAAATCTAGAAATGCAGTGATTTGTCTTCATCGATCTAATCAGTCATTTACGTCAGGTTTATTTTGTTTTTCCGATCAAATCAATATTCTGAAATACTTTGTTCAAAGTGTCTGCTATTCGATATTTAAAACAAATAAATTGAATCACATGGGATTAAGGTGTCACGGGTATTTTTAAAAAAAAATATTGCCTACAAATTATATAAGTTGTATATACTTATTTGTATATCTCATGTGTGCTCGATCATAGCTCGATTCATGTGGGTCTTTTCACCAATTAAACATCATGCAAACTCGGTTGTTTTACATACCAAAGAACTTAGAAAGACTTCGTGATTTACATGGGATAAAAGAGATTAGTTTCCTATTTAAGAGGCCATTTTTTACCTAGATAGTTTGACAAAAGCACTTAATAGCAGTACGAGTTACATGAGACTGAAGTGGATTTTTTTTAGCGAAACGGTTATTCGACTGTATCTGGACGTACATACTGTTATTGTTGATCGTCAGAAATACATCGTAGAAATATGATTTACTGTTGAACAGTAATATAAATAAATTGTATACATCAGTTGCTAACCATGAAATTGTGCACTAATAATTGTCAAGAGATTTTCAGTCTTATTATTCGACCTCTACATTTGGTTTTAATAAAAAGCTTCGGCTTCATGGGATCTGACCCATCATCGCCTCGCATACGTCATCATAAATCTTTTATTCTCTTCAGACATAAATAGTGAGTTTTCCCTTTAAGAACCTAAGTGTTAAACTTAAATGTTATCAAATTGTATTACTAATTATTATCACTTTTTATCCAAAGGTTGCCACATCAAAGCCTGTTGAATATACATGCCCAAATAATTCCTCTCGATCGAAATCTCCACAGACTTTTACGCAGGATGGTCATCGCTTACCAGAATGTTTACAAATTCACCCACTTACTCTGGCTTCTATGGTTATGCCAGTAAACCAGATAATTCGAGCACATGCTAGCCAGAATAAATCTGAAATGAAAAAATCGGACGAACTTGCAAATTCATTGAACGTTTATTTGAATGATCGAAATGCCGTAACGGATGCAAGCTATTCTAGTGAATTCAGTGATGGTGAATCGTGGGGACGTCCACCTGTCTGTGATCATACTAACACTGGATATCTTTCAGATAATCACCTTATAGAAGCTGTTTCTGAAGCAAAAATGCTCAACATGAGTAAACAACAACTAGATATGCGCCTAAGTATCCGACCTGGTTCTAAGATTATCTCCTCTAGTCGCACACAAACAAATTCAAGTCAGTTTCTCTATCTTTTTCTCATCTTGACTCATTGGTGGGTTGTAGGAGAGTCGGTATATGAGTACATGACTTGTTCGTCATCCCTCAGTACTTATTCTGATACTTTTAAGAAATCTAGTCTTACGACCTTTCTGTTGATGTTAGGCTTCAAAGCTTATCGTCTATAATCTAATTACGACAACCAGGTATTAACTCTGAGGCTTAATAATTAAGAGTATTTTTGCCATCAGATATATTTGCACTTATTTGAACGCTTACATATTGACACAAATGCGCACCAAAATAAATGTGCACCACACAAGTAAGATTTTGAAGAAATAGGTGAAGATGAGGAATTATAATCAAAAACTAATCAAATAACTAAACGAGAGAATTATATACTGGGAGGCACTGTAGTGTTGGTTACTTCGTTAAGGCCGCATAACTTATTCTAGTTTCTTGACAGGCGAATTTATCCATTCTTCGTGAGTCACTTTTTGGTCTTGCTAATTATTTACTTACCAACCCTGACTGTTTTTATATGAGTGTATGTGTGTGTGTATCTTATCTTACTCATCACGTGTTTAGTTATTTTTGTGTGACTATAAATATAGATTAACGCTTAATTAAATCGAGTTGGCCCATTTGCCTTCTCCATTGCTCGTCATTTCGCTTCGCTCTCTTTTCTTCGCTTCATTTCTCTGATTGTCTGTTTAAATCAATGAGTGTACAAAACATACGCATTCAAAAATTTATTCTCGTATTTGGCTTATTTAATTCCGTCATTCACTAACGCGGATTATGTCGGTAATTATATACGAGAATTGACGATATGTAAATCTAAATAACAATCAGTCAGACGTTACAACTGGGGTCAGATACGGGCCACAAAAGAACCATTCAAATTATGAATTACGACTAGAAGGAATCTTTTCAATCAAAGAAGTTCCTCTTACTTTTATGAGGTAAAAGAAAGTTACAACATGGTTGCTATTTATTTCTGTCCTATAGCATGCCTTGTAACGTCTCAAGCCACCGAGTGGCATTGTTTCAAACTCCAACCAGGAAGTCATGATGAACTGAGAGATACCGATCCGATACAGTTTTCCTCCATAGCACGGCTCCGTGTCACAAACTGACTACTTCTCTACTTTTTCCAATCTGTTCCGAATTCGGAAAATTAGTGACGATGTGGAATTCGCTTGGACGACATTCGTAGTACATATCCAAGCGGTCGAAACCAGTGTTTCAAGATAATGAAACCAACCTGATTATAGTAGTTTTGCCCGGATACTTGTTACCGAACCTCTGCACTACTAACATGATGTTGCCATTGAATGTCAGCAATCTATCCGAGTCGTCGATGATCGAACACAGAGTTTGTTTACCATTCTTAACGTGGAAAGGCCAAGTTTCACAAGCATACAGCAAAACTGCTCTCACTGGCGAGCTGTCAACTCTACCTCTCACAGTCAGACTTACATCACGATAGCTCCAGAGGTGGCTCCAATCGTTTTTCATCACACATAAGCTGATCTTATATGATGCACCACCACTAGTATTCACACGCAAGTTCTAAGCATTCAAAAATCCGTGAAATATTAGATTTTAGAATATTGTTTGGTTTACTTTTATTAAAATGTTCTTTTTAATTGAAATTTTGATGGAAGTAAAAATATTCTTATCACTAAGTAGAAATATATATTACTAAGTGTTGTAAATAACGATAAATAGTTTGTAAAGAATGTAAAATGTTGTGTGGTGAAGAAATTCACAAAAGTAATAATGATAGTAGGAACAATGATGGAACGTGTGAGATTATTAGCTTTTAAAAAAAGTAGTCGAACTAATGAAAGAAAAACTTAACAGAACAGTAATGAAACTGATCTTAGTGGTTTAGGTGTTCGACTTTCAGCTACTTAATCTCAGGTTCGAGCCCCGCTCCACCTAATTCTGTTTGGAGAACCATGTAGTACTTTTAGCCTTCACACCGTGTGGCTCACATCCCAAGTACCTGGAGAATAAGTTAGTTTTCATGTATTTAGATGTTGGAGGCAAAAGGAAGAGTAAGGTTAGTTTGTGAGTGAAATTTTGGATATATTGGACATTTGATTTAAGCTAACATAAATATGTGATATACTTTCTGTTGACTCTTCCTAAGATGGTACTTATCGTTATTCTCAGCTTTTGTGTATGTAGTTAGTACTTACTTAGGAATAAACTAAAGAAGTATGTCCCTTCAGCACTTAATAACTGAGTATACCTACTGTACTAAAATGGTTGTCAGTATTTCTGATATGATTTAAACCAGATCTTGCTCTAACAAAGTATCGACACGTAAGCTCCTTACACACATGCCTTTATAAAATACCATTTTTATGTTATAGACTGTTTGGAAGTTCAGTAATTAGGGATTATAAAATCTTCAATATTTCCAAAAATATTTTTTGATTTAGAATTCTATAAGATACTGGAGTGTCTTGTTAGTGGTACGTAAAGTGTTTTGCTTAGTTTAATTTTTAATGAATAAAACATCAAGTTCATTTGTTGAATCACCTGAGAATATTCCAAATTAGTCCTGTTGCTTTGAATTTTGTAGATGTTAACAATGTTCGTGTCAAATACTTAACTATAAGTATTCAGGCAATTAATAGAACTAGTTAAGATTTTGTGGAAATCGTTCACGTTTATTCAGTACATCACGAATGTTCATCAATCCAAGTAGTCACACCATAAATTAACACAGTGAGATGGGATTATCAAAGCGAAATATCTCATGAGTAACATTAATGATTGTTAAAATACTGAACATAGAGAATATGATTGGAGAAAGTAGACTGAATTTATCGAAATAAAATGTATTGATCAGTTTTGAAACTTACGTTTTAAAGGTTTAGAAATAGTTAAGTCATTTGCACTGCTGTCTCCGATTTTTAACCATTTTATCTAATGTCTCAAACCTATTTTCTTTCTTATCTTTAGGGGAGAATTTAAATCGTAATCACTTAACACCGAAATTTGAATTCACTCACGTTTATGATGGCCTAAAAACATTATCAAATGCATTTCCAAATGCAAATAAATCATTTTCTAATTTTCTGCATAATTCTAATTTAAATTTAAACTTCGCTGACGATGATTTCAGTGATGTAAAATCATCTGTTTGTTATTCAGTTCCTGGTTCACCCAATATTAATTCAAAATATTCTCACTTAATAAGACAGAGTAACTCAAGTGAATTCAACGACGCTTCTCATCATGTAACTGATAATCCAACCGCCATCAATAATAATAATAATAATAGAAATATTCGAACAAAGCGATTTGAACGTTTGCGTGATTTTTTGGGCACTTTTAAAAATGATAATCTCTCTAATACAGATGAAGATGATCATTACTTTTACATGGATCCAAAATCTGTAGAACGTAGAATGAAATGTCAAGCATCAAATATAATTCTACCAGTATCTTTTTGATTCACTTTTTTTTAATTTTGAAAGTTTCCTCTTGTTATTACTTCGTATTTTCACTAAATCATCCGTCACTATTACAATTCTTTTTCTAATTGTATTTGCAATGTATTTACCTTCGCCTTATTTTAGAGAATATATATAAGTGCTGAGTTATTTAGTGTATCATTCTTTAGTTTGTAGATAGATGGAAGTCATAAACATCGGCTTCTTGTACTTATTCGCTACTTCACCTAATATTCTATGTATCAACTTAATGTTCTCTTATCATTTCTTTAATCACCATTGTATTTACTATCATTATTTTCAGAGCCCATTTCAATATTGTTTTCCATTTTATTTTATTTTTGTTTGCGTTTATCATTGATATTAGTAACTGGGAAGTTTATATTTTAAGTTGCTTCTTTTGGTTCTTATTCTAATCGTTATTGCCATTGTTTACTTTTCGGTTGACGTTTATGGACATATACCGTACACTTCATTACACCACTGATATATTTCAAAATATCAGTTTTACTACCGATTAGTCTAGCTATTTAAAAGTGAGTGATTGTTTTTATATGTTGACTTTTTAAACGAATTCCATATAACTGAAACAACAGTTCACAATTGACTGATCAGTGAATAATAACTGATGTCATGCTTGTCTAGTTCTTTGCTGCTGATCAAATCGCAATGTGACTACAAGTCAAAATAAATTGAACGTGAACTTTGTTGTTATGTTAATATGTTGGAGATAGTTGAAAGGAAACTATAGACCTAGGCTTATACTAGTTGGCACTGGTTACGAAGGTGCACCTGTATTCTTGTGGGAATTGATACTCCCTATGGGGTTTGAACCCGAGTCATCCAGCTTCATAGCTTGAGACCTTACCATTAATAAGTTAAGGTAGTAACTGACTGTACAACTAAAATATTTGCGTTTCATTGTCCACTGAATAGGTCACTGGACACGCGATATTATGCACCAAATTGCTTGTTTAATTATTTTGATAGTATTAATTGTACTTCCCGTTGATTTTTTAAAGAAGCGAATCTTCAATGCAAGCCCTATGTATGTTATGTTTAAGGGTTTCCGTAACTAAGACGAATATCGATTGTTACTTCGTTTCCTGATCAACGGGGACTGATCACTATTAGGTAGGGAGATAACCGTTACTGTTCGAGGTTACGAGTCTGAATCTTAGTTTGGACCCATCGTTTGTGTACGAAATAACTATGCGACACACCAGTTCAGGTTTACAAGTAAATTCAGTTATTGTAATATGGCAGCCGTACGCTCATTAGTAAGGTCACCTGCAAAATACGACCAAAAGAACTAGGTCTTGAAATATAAAGCTTAAAAAAAGCCGGTCTTACTTTTAGTCAAAATTTGTTGACACATGAAACTTCTTCATAGTCGGTAGTGATGAGCGGAGGTTGCTCTAACGCAAATTAATTAACTGTGCAATACATCTATTTTCTATTCTTTCGATTAATGTATTGCAGATTCGTCCCGTATATACTCTTGAAATTCTCCTGTTGGACATTGCAGTATTAAAGGTTGTCTATGTAATGTATTGGGATAACACTTAGTCCAGGCTCGCAGCTCAGGAGACACACTGTGGAAGAGAAAATCTAATGAATAATGGAGGATGGGTGTTGTCTTCTAAGCCTAATCAAAGTATGGCGCATCAAATGAATAAGTGTAAACGACCACGCCTGTCTACGGAAAGGTATAAGGAGTGATTAGTTAACGATACGAGGATAAGGGAAATAATAATGGGATTATTAATAATCGATCTAATAACTTTTAAAATTTAATCATGGGATTGCGTATCCAATAACTGTCAAGCAGTGTACTCATATTGCTTGTTACGACTGATGTTCTGAGTATAGGTTCCGTCTTACTACGGAAATTCACTTGAAAAACGCGAGTATTTTTAAAGACTAAATGTCAGTTATTCTTTGTCGTAGTACCTGGTTAGGACAATAGGAAGATACTTTGAGGAACGATTCATTCGATTTCCATTTATCCTTCATTTGCATTTACTGTATAACAGCGATTCGAGTATTGTGAAAATTTGTTCTTGATTGAGATGGACTAATAGACGCAGAGATCGTTTTTGCAAGTCTAAGCGATATTATTTTATCCGAAGATTTGCACATAAATAATTTTTTCTGAATTTCCAGTTTATTTCACTGGGACATGGAGTAGGTACAACAAATTACCAATAATAAAGTGACCGAGTTAAATTAGTAATAATCTATATTTATTCTATATATATTCCGAAATTATTTACACAAAAAAGTGGATGCACGTTACTTTCATTCTACTCGGCCTACTTTGCATTAATTCCTAACTTAGCTAAGTTACATAAGATTTAATAATTAAAATAAGCAACCATTTATTTTAAGCCCAGCAAACCACTTTTGAATTGTTTATTTAACTACTATATGTAGTGTGATCAGCTAGTCAATTTAGCACCAATACTTTATTCCAAATAATTAATTATTTCGTCATCTCATTTTAATCGAAAGCTAAATAAATTAGGATTGGTTTGATTATCTGAGCTTAGGTGACCTAATGCACTTTATTATGAATCATATCATTAAGTGAGTGACATTCTAAAGTTTTTATGCTAGTGTCTAAGTTGAGTGAATTTGTTAGATCTCAACACTGAATCATTCGATACTTCCTCAGAAACTGGAAGGAATAGCTTTTAAATGCGTGGTGAAAGTCTGTTGAATGTTTCAACTTGGACTAAATAAAATCGATAGGTCCAGATCATTATATGAAAAAAAAATTTTAAAACCTTGATCTGAGTTTTGATAAGTGAAACAGTCATCTGTTCTCTTGTATTACATTTTCGTGTCCTTATCTCGGTCCATATTTGGTCGATGCGGAAGATGAAGTTACAATGAAATTAAGTGGACATACTGCGAAGGCATTTCATTTGGTGTTGATACTTACGAGTATCCTTAGGGTGAAAATGGTTTAAAGGTTTATTGTTTGGCTGAGAATAGGAATCGATTATGTATCCTAGGATTGAGTGAATTCGCTTTCGGCTGTATGGGGTCGAGTGAGTCTCCAAACGGTAAGTAGGATCGTTGAAAAAAGGTAATGGGAGTTTCTATCGAGGTCGAATGATGAGGCGGTTTAGTTTAGATATATGTCCTCATCACAGTGATGCCTTGGAAGTTAAGTGTATAACTCGAATTTCTAATTACAGGGAAGTTGTTTGGACATCTAAAAGGAACTTACTGGTCACAGCCAATATAAATGACGTTTGCATAGATAATCTATTTGTGATATGGGCAAACCTTCAGATTTATCACCTAATGTTTACTTGGATTCATCTTTCTGAATTTCTAACATTCACCGAAGTAAATCATACTGACATCAACTGGTTTAAGATGAATCTTTAGAGAAATGTAAATATTTCGGAGCACATCTTTGTACTTTTGTTATCTTTTAATATACCCAAAAATCATTCTGAATTTTTGGCCAACATATTTATTGTTCTCAACTGGTTTATGTAATCTTAAAAGTTCTCATAGGATAAATTAAACCAACCACTGTTTTCCATTACATCTTCATAAAGCTCCACTCCATTTTATAGTAATATTTAGATGCATATATGTAAAACACCAATCCAAGCAAGATAATTTGTAGGCTACTGAGAGCAATGGAAAGGTTTGCATTTTTAATTATAGTAAATAGACAGTATAAATTGATAGTAGGTTGACATTTATACTAGTGACTATAAGAATAGTAAACAGAATAGTTTTGTGAGCAAATGTATGTCGAATTTTAAAAGCATGTATTCATTAGAACATACGAAAAGTCTAGTATTTACCTGAATCGCCCGATATTATTAAACTAATAATTATTAACGGTTTCATTATAAGAAATTTTTAAATAGTAAGTTCAAGCAGGTAGGTGGCATAGAAGAGGAAACACAATGGATAATGTGTAGGCAGAACTAATAAAATCGTCCAACAGTTTTCCTTATACATTAGTAAAACTGTATGGTTTAAAATGATAGCTTCAATAAATTTCTTATGAATGAATAATTGAGATTTTATAACTTTGGGATTAATTTTAACCGCTTTCTGAAGGAAAAACCGATTCCGTCGAATTGTCAGTTAAAATCACTGCTGAACTGAGCCAAAGTTTTCCATCAAGACCATAGCTGTCAACTGATGGTGTAATATTTCTGTCCAAGATATTCCTAGAGTAAATACATTCTTATTGTATTCCGTCTCAATGGAGATGTCTGCAATAAAGGAATTATAAATTCTTCATATTATCTTTACAATATACTAAAGGTTTTGATTTTGCAATAGATGTTTCGTATAGGCCAAAGGTGTACTAGAAGAATTATTTATTACTCATCGGTCATCTAAAAAAGGAACTATGACAAAACTCTGGTGGCACAATTCTTATTCATTAATTTTTGCTAATTTTTCGTTAGTAAAACTTACGATCTTCAGTATGTTTGCGGTAACACATTTTAACAAAACAGATTCTCATTATCATTTAAAGTTTGAATATTCAAGTATACTTATTAAAAAAATAGATGTATATTTAGGAATTCGCTAAATGTATTGAATAAACTTCTAATTTCAAGTAGTGTTTTTTCTGAGACAAAATGTTAGTGTTAAAAATAATTAAATCATCATGAGAATTATTTGGTTATTAAAATCATGTTACCAATGGTATTGATGGAACTGACTTCATTAAAATCATACGATCGGTATTCTTGACAAATTTATTGATACCATAATGATTATAATGGTTGTAAATGACCTTGACCTCACAAAAATTTGTACAAGACTGCATTTCGTCGAGGTACCCACAATTATTCACTTTCTTACATGAACTACTAATAGTAGTTTGTACAAATTTGATAAAATTAGTCATATAATGATTAACTGTCTTCGGAATTGGTATCTTAGCTAAAATTTTAATTAATCATTTATTACGGTCTGTAATTTTCATAATGATTAACTATCATATTTAACTAATTAGTCATAATATTATTCAATGATCTGGGATTTTGTTTTTGTACTGTGTATTTTTGAATGACAAGCTCAGAAACAGTGAATGAATACTTAATAAGTGTTTAGAGAATATAAAAATAATTCCCGTATTCACTTGTTACTTAACAACAGGAAAATGAAAAAAAAATTCCTTGAAAATTCTTTCAAACATGGGTTTTATATTAAAATTTGTAATAATAAGTCATTTAATATAATAATGAAATTTTTATTTTAATGTACGTTGTTTTTCTATGGTCTTATTCAATAGTATATCGTCACATTACAAATTCAAATAAGAAAACATACACAGAACTTCTTAAAAAATAAGAAAGAAAAAAAGTCTGTATAATTTTACATTCCTTAACATATGGTAACAATAATGTTTGCCGATTTTCAATTGTTTTACATGTTTTATTTTGTTTTTTAGTGCTAGTAACGTGAATAAAATGTCATTAGTATGTTTAAACTGATATCCAACTCTTGGTTCGTCTTCATGTTGTTGTTTTTTTCTGGTAAGAAATATTTTAACTAAAAATTAAAAATGGAGACTGTTATTTAGGCAAAAAATGGATTATAAATTATAGTGTTACGTTTATTAGTTTCGGAAAAACAAATGAGTTCTTTATGAGAAACACATTTTCATTTATATATGATTTCTAATAAATGGATCGAGTTTTTCTTT